TACCCGATTTTATAATGTTTGTTTTTATATAAATCACCTTTGTATCAGCCTATTATATTAAAAAATTTCGACCAGTGATAACGGTACTGGTTTCGGAGATAAAGATGCACCAGAACTTCTACTATATAGATCAAAAACAGATAATGAGATTCAGGAACTCTTTGACTCTATAGGATAGGAAAAATAATACTTGTGCCAGATTATTATTTAGCTAAATATTTTGATCACATCAGATGGGGTCACTAAAGTAACCATCGATTCTGTTTCAGTTTTTTTACTTTTGCGTAAAGCACGGTCATAAATTCCGCTATGATTGCTACAGATTCCAGTATCGGAATAGGTTCCCTGCCCACAGATAGGGCATATTGTTCTAGGAAGGGCATTATAATGTCTGGTGCATCCTAATTCACTCATGCATCCTTTCCCACAGATTGAACCATCTCTCTTAATGTATTGGCAGATAAAACGACCCATACGAGGTAATTTTGATATTAATAATCTTAAAACTTCGCTTTTACTTTTATTATAGATATTCAAAATTCCTTTGCTTTAGCACCTTTGGCCAATCTTACTTACTCTTTTTGCGACTCTCTAGCCAATTTTTCTTATAAATGGGTTTGGCATGTATTGTAGAAAAGGTCAGCCTATTACAGCAGGATGCGCCTGGTGGAGACCTATAGTGTTTGATACACCCGTTCTTGCGAAAGTATCTTTCCCTATAGATAGACCTATCTTTTTTCTTATGTAAGCAAGGCCAAGATGGGTAATTAGAATCTATAGAGTTTTCTGAATCAGATATGTATTTACCAAAGGGACCAAAGGGCATAGTACTTCTTTCTGGAAAAGTTTTTAAGATTAATATATGTTAAACTTATCTTCATTTTTTATTATAGATATTCAAAAATGTGTTATGCCGGTCTGCGAAGCGCCTTAATGGCAGAGCATAAGCTATATCATTTTTTTTTCGCTCCTAGTCAAGAGCCATCTCTGTTATTTTCCCTTTTCGAAGAAGTATAGCTCTGAGGGAATTTTTCGAATTGAATTTTTTCTCACATAATATAAGTAGAAGAAACAACTGAAGTCTACTTATATCGACATGGCTACCAAAACGGCTACTCCAAAGACCCGAAAACCTAAAGCTAATAACTTTGTATTGGTCTTAGAGCAGTTCCTAGAAAAGCATAATTTGACAGCCGACTCCACTCTAGAACAATTAAGCGAACATGCTCCCGAACTGGATGCTTTACTTCCTGATTGGAAGGCCCGTAAGTGCGTTAAGGAAGCCCTTGCGAGAGGCACTGAAAAAAGAAGTGCATTTAGCAAAGAGCAGATAGGGGCTCTCGTGCCAGATCAGAGAAATAAGATATATTCTGTCAGGAAAAGGGCCCAAGAAGTTGCTAAAAGCGGAGATAAGTGGGATATTTTCATTAATACTTTATCTTTGGGACCAAAAGGAAATAAGGATGGAGTAATTGATGATAAGGAAATGGTTGCTTCTAGCTTAAACCAATCACGATTTTGTAAGTATTTAGCAGAGTACGGGGCCGATCCTGAACTTATTGATCGCTATGCCATGGATTCAAAGACGACTACGGCTTCTAACAAAATCCAGCAAGAGTGGACTGAGAAGCGCTTGGCTGATCCAGGTAAAACTCCAGATCATTTCACCTTTGAGAAGGTGCTTAGGAGACTCCAGAATATCGATACTTCTAAAATTCCCTCTATGCAGGATCTCGCGGATGTAATAGTGATGCTGAGCATGAGGCCTGCTGAAGTATCATCTCTCCAGATTATTAATTACAAACCAGATTCCGAAGATCCGCCAGTGTGGTATAAAGCTGGTTATTCTTGGTATTGCACTGGATGTCGCAAACAGAGAAAAAAACCGATGCCTATGCGCTTACTCTCTATGGAAAAGAATCCAGAACGTGCTAGGGAATTACTTACCTGGATTCAAGACGCTATTAAGGCTGGAAAGTTGCGTGATCCAGTTTATACTGAAACTGGAAAGCGTAATAACGTGCCATTTGCCAAATTCATAAAGAGTTTAAAAACTAATCAGGACAAAGATGAGATTACCCTGAGGTTCTAAGAAAAATAGGAGCTAAACACGCCTCGATGGTTCATGCTGGCCCAAATCCAACCCCTCAACATCTCGACCATCTTTCAGAAATCGCAATAAGACATAAAATTAACCGTCTTGATGCGGGAAAAAATTACGCTTTAGGTGATCCAGAATCGAAGAAGGAGCTCAACTCTGGACCAGAGACAAGTGATGGTCCAAAACCCCAAACACAGGCTTCTTCACCTGCATCCCAGTCTAGAAACAATGATCCAAAAAAGTCTCAGACTATGGATATGGATTCAATGTTAGCTGAAATTGATGCAATGTTAGCTGAAATTCGGAAATAAATGCCAATACAGAGCAGTGATCGCATAATTTCCCTGAAGGTGCTTTGCTATTTTTTTGTTTAAAGATACAGCATATATTATTTATGGCGCTATCAGATATTTTTAATATAGACGAAATTTCCCTTATTTGCCACTATGCAATCCGGCCAAGTATGATCACATATATGATAGGACAACTGGCTTTATTACTGTCAAAATATAAAACAAGACAGGTTAGGATTGGCCGAAGACGCTGTGCATAGGTGTGTTTGATTATCCCGAACTTTGTGAATATCTGGCAGTCCGATCCAACTAGTCCGGAGCAGTGATCATTGGTGCAAAATCACATTTTTTCGATTAAAGATACAGCATATATTATTTATGGCGCATTTAGGTGTTATAAATTTACCGGAACTATTGGAGCGGATTCTATATTTCCTAGCGGTAGATAAATCTCTCTATACCACTCTATATGTTTCCCGATTGTGGTACAGATGTGGTGCTCCTATTCTGTGGGAACGCATCGAGCTAAAGGGGAACGATCCCAAAGCAAAGAAATTCATAGAATTAGTATGTGGGAAGCAAAAGCCAATTTATAGCTCGAAACTAACCCATCTCGAAATTCCATACTATAATCCACTTTCAAGTAAGAAAATTGAAGGCATCGTAAGAACATGCCCGAACATAATTCATCTGAATTTCGAAAATTGTGTGGGTTTTAGTAATAGAGCATTAAAGCATACCCCAATCTGAGATATCTTAATTTATGTAGTAGTGATATTATGGGTGATAAAGCTTTATGTGGAATGGTGGGATCATGTCGTAAAATAGAATATCTAAATATTTCTTTCTGCCAAGGCATTACTGATAGATCTTTAATCAAAATTGCGGACAGTTACCAAGCTTTACAAGAGTTTCATTTTGCTTGTGCGCATTCGATTTCTGAAAGATTTATAAGTCACATCTTAAACTCATGCCCAAATTTACGAAGATTCAGTATTCCGGGTAGCTGTCGAAGAAAAAATAGATGTGATATATTAGTAGAAAAACTTCTTACTGTAGAGAAACACCTTAATGTAGAGAAACATCTTAGTGTAGAGTATCTTGATTTTGGTAGGTGTGTTTACGTTGCCGAGACTTCAATTTGCAATGCCATTCATTCCTGTCCAAATCTCCAACATCTCAACCTTAGTTTTTGTGGAATCACTGATATAACTATCGAAGAAATTGCTAGATCATGTCTTAATTTAATTTGAGAGGGTGTTATAAAATTAGCAAAAGAGCCGTAAATAAGCTAAATCCAATTACCCACATAGAGAATTTCGAGGAAACTTTAACGACTCCTGATCTCATTGGGGTGGTTAGAAATCATCTTACACATAACAATGTTGCTAGTAGACAGATTTTAGCTCAGAGCCTTCAGAGCCTTTTAGACCTAAGTATGCGAGATAATTTGCAGTGGTATTCCGATCCAGGGTTGGCTAGATCAACAGTCCGGAGCAATGATACAGTGGTTATATTTGAAGATCTATGTGCTGATCATTAGCTCGGAAGACTTAGCACAGATTTCTGCGCAATGATGTAATAGCCGATCACCGGACAGGGCCTGTGCGACATATTAATCGAAAAGAAGTTATATCAGATATATGCGGTCGTTCGCATAGCGAACCCTGCTAACCACTACCTCTAATTTTTTCCCGTATAAGTTTGCGAAGCAAACGAAAGGGCGTCTAGTTGCAACACAGGACCTACCATATAAGCAAATAGTGCCGAAAAAAGCATATGTTGTGAAAGGCTTGAGGACTTGCAATTCCGAGATCGCCAGGCGTAAGACCAACTATGTCTTTCCGGTAGATCTCCATGTGAAAAGGTAAGAGGATTCCATTTGCATGTGCTTTCATAGAACTCTTGGCATCAGACGACAATACTAATTACGCCTCATACCTCCTTAACTTCGGCCTGGCGCTCTTTTTCTCAGCAAGATATAAAGCATGTAGGTGTATGTGGAAGTTCAGCCAACTTTCCGCCAAAAACTTTCCCAGAGAAAATAACGCAAATAAGGTATGTATATGCCAGAAGTCAGTGTTGGCAAATGACAATGTCATAATGTCATATGCCAAATGACAATGTCATTATATCACATGACATATAGTCATA